GCCCAGCTAATTTTTGTATTTTTAGTAGAGGCAGGGTTTCACTGTGTTGGTCAGGCTGGTCTCGAACTTCTGACCTCAGGTGATCCACGCACCTCGGCCTCCCAAAATGCTGGGATTACAGGTGTGAGCCACCGTGCCCAGCCTGTGTAATAGTTTATGGAATATTCATTATGTGAGCTGGTCTGTAAGTATAATAATAATTTTTTAAATTTCATTGTGCCATTATTTATTGGGGTACAGGTGGTATTTGATTAGATGAGTAAGTTCTTTAGTGGTGATTTGTGAGACCCTGATGGACCCATCACCTGAGCAGTATACACTGCACCATATATGTTGTCTTTTATCCCTCTCCCTGCCTACTCTTCCCCCCAAGTCTTCAAAGTCTATTTTATCATTCTTATGCCTTTGCATCCTCATAGCTTACCTCCCACATATCAGCAAGAATATATGTTTGATTTTCCATTCCTCAGTTAATTCACTTAGGATAATAATCTCCAATATCATCCAGGTCATTGCAAATGCTGTTAATTTCTTTTTGTGGCTGAGTAGTATTCCAACATATATGTACATGTCATAGTTTCTTTATCTACTCATTGATTGATGGGCATTTTGGTTGGTTCCACGAGTCTGAAATTGTGAATTGTGCTGCTAGAAATATGGATGTTCAAGTATCTTTTTCAAGTAGTCAGTATTTGGGTTTATTTCTGGGTTCTCTGTTCCATTGGTCTATGTTTCAAATAATGACTTCTTTTCCTGTGGGTAGTTACCCAGTGGTGGGATTGCTGGATCAAATGGTAGTTCTACTTTTAGTTCTTTAAGGAATCTCCACACGTTTTTCCATAGCAGCTGTACTAGTTTACCTTTCCACTAGCAGTGTAGAAGTGTTCCCTGATCTCTGCATCGAAGCCAACATCTACAGTTTTTTGATATTTTGATTATAGCCATTCTTGCAGGAATAAAGTGGTATGGCATTGTGGTTTTGATTTGCATTTCCCTTATCATTAGTGATGTTGAACTTTTTAAATGTTTGTTAGCCATTTTTATATCTTCTTTTGAGAATTGTCTATTCATGTCTTTGGCCCACTTTTTGATGGGATTTTCTTTTCTGACTGATTTGTTTGAGTTCACTGTAGATTCTGGATATTAGTCCTTTGGCAGATGTATAGATTGCAAAGATTTTCTCCCACTCTGTGAGTTCTCTGTTTACTCTGCTGACTGTTTCATTTGCCATGCAAAATCTCTTTAGTTTAATTAGGTCCCAGCTATTTGTCTTTGTTTTTACTGCATTTGCTTTTGGGTTTTTGGTCATGAAATTTTTGCCTAGCTAATGCCTAGAAGGGTTTTTCCAATGTTATCTTGCAAATTTTTATAGTTTCAGGTCTTAGGTTTAAGTCCTTAATTCATCTTGAGTTGATTTTTGGTATAAGGTGAGAAATGA